ACCATCATGCATACCATCATACGTCGTATTGAGGATACCATCATGCATACCATCATACGTCGTATTGAGGATACCATCATGCATACCATCATACGTCGTATTGAGGATACCATCATGCATACCATCATACGTCGTATTGAGGATACCATCATGCATACCATCATACGTCGTATTGAGGATACCATCATACGTCTTCAGACTTATTCTTGTCCAGTTTTACGCGAATAATAAGTTATACGTGCGATATTTCAAATGTATATATTATATGAAATTGTCATTCATAAAAGTTCAAAACGGCCTTGCGAAAAAAAAAGTATTGCAAATCTATGCCATTTGCTTTGTTCATAGAACGCGCCTTGTTAGCAGTTTCAAAATGAGTCCAAACACATCGCAATCAACGCGAATAATGATCTATAATTCAAAATTTCAAAGTAATATTTGTAAATCTCGTTGAAAAATGTTCATTTCATATAAATTTGGAACTGCCTCGCGTAAAAACTGAAGTAGGAACATACAAACGGTTTGCTGCGTTAGACGCGCTTTTTTGCAACTGTAAAATATGCTTAAAACCAGCATAATTAACGCGAATAATAATCTATTAACAGCATTTTTCCTAAATAAATCTTAGTACATGTCAAAAAATTTAAATTTTTTTAATTAAAATTCTTCACGCAAAAACTAGAGCACGCTCATACATTCGATTTGCTGCGTTAGACGCGCCTTTTCCGCAGCTACAAAATAAGCTGAAAAAATATAACTCAGTACTCACTGCAGTGAGTGACAGAGAGCGCATTTTCTTGTCGACGAAAACGTGAAGTCTCGGACGGACAGACAGACGGACCGGACGGACGGACATGGCGAGCACAATAGCGCATTTTTCCATAAATGAAAAAATGCGCTAAAAACGAAAAAACCAAAATTTTCCATTTTTGGACCCTGACAGCATATTCGTTGGATTTCTTAATTAAGTTAGGGTCTGGTATCGTAGGGAACGTCCGAGGACGCGGTTGCTGACAACAGCTGCTCGCTGCGGTCATCGCCTTATCTCTAGCACCGCGGCTGCCAGAGGCTGTTCTGGCATTCAATAGTCACATGACTCTTACATGCATTATTCGACTTGATTGTCTGTTAGATGTCACTATCCATTTATTTTTTTACTGAGATTTGAGAAATGCTTATTTATTCCCTACAAGTGTAGAATTGAGAGTTGCATACTCTAAGCTTATACACAAAAATGTACAAGTCATTGTTGACTCTTTGGGTCAGTCATTCGTGGCTTAGCCACCGTCGTGCGAGGTTGGATGTGGTTCGCGCTGCTCCGGTGAACCTCACTGCCGAGCAGCCAAATTTTTCCTCTTTCAAACCGATCACTTGGCCTGCCAGTGACGCTTACGTCATTTGCAAACGTTTTCTTAGTGATCTTCTTTTAGTGAATGATTTATTCCCGCATGTATATTCGTCCTGATAATTGTTATAACTTGGCGAAGATTTATGAACTTTTTAAGTCATCTTGCAAAATTTTCCTTTTGATGGAAGAAAAGTATATTTCTTGAGCAACGCCTTGAATTGATTTTCTGTGGGTGTAAAAACTTCACTGCTAACGTTGTCCAATTTATTGATTTATTCAATAATGTTATTCTTGCCAGTGTTGCGTGTTTGTCTGGTGGTGCATGACTAGAACGGATAGAGAGTAGTCATACAACATCGCTTCATTATCTTACTACCTAATCTTATTTTGTTCATGTTGTTTACAGAATAAAATGAAATCGTACTTGATAATTTGAAGTATTGCAAATATTGTTATTAGTTTTGTTTACTAACTTAAACGTGTTGCAAATCATACTATTGTCGATTTATTACGGTGATTGTAACTTTGTGTAGGTCAATAATTTGATTCTTTTGAGCGATGCTTGTCTAGCAACAAGCAGAATTCAGTTGACGTATAGGAACAAACGAATTGTGAAAGCCACATGCGCAGAGTGATTCCTCGATGTTAACAACCGTGTGCTAAATGGAACGCTAAAATTTTATAAAATATTTTACTACTAAAATTTGATGAAAAATTTACAAAAAAATTACTAAAATTTGATAAAAGGTTGTAACGCACTTGCAACGCCCACAAAAATGATAGTCGGGCGGGGACGAAGCCGATGTAATCGCCGTCCTCGGCGTGGAGGGGCCGCGGTCAACGGGCGTGTGTTGTCGGTGCCCTTTGTGTTGCTGAGGTCCCTGGGACGAAGGGCAGTTCGCTGGATCCTGCTGCGTCAAGAGCGGTTTTTGCACTCACGGCACGCAAGCTCAGTAGATATTGAAGAAACCTTAAGGAATCTTAAAGTTGAAGTTGAGAGATGTTATGCCCTGCAACCTTCCCCACAAGCTAGGCTCCCTCCCCACCTAAGGCCTAAACCCTTACATGCTGTCAGGAAAATATACGTTCCTCGGAGGCGGTTGCCGGGTAGGAAAGCATCATTGCTTATCAAGAAGGCGCACTACCAAGTGCCCAAGGCGGGTAGACCTGTTCCGGTTGCTCCCGAGTTGTTGAAGTACCTCGCACAACAGGGGATTGTTACAAAGTCTTCTCTGCCTAGAGTCACACAAAACACTGGCAAGAAAACCACTGTTCATGAATATTTATGTTTCACGAACGACGCAACTAGTAATGATGATCAAAGTGTAAACGATGGGTATTTATCTGCCGAAGAAATTGCACACGGCTCTCCGGTTACAGAGAAAACCATTTCCCCGCGTGTGTCTTTTTCCCCTGAAGTGGACCGCAGCGAAGACTTGGTCAACGACTCCGGTTCCTCTCGAAGGTGCAGTTTCGACTTCGACGACTGCCCTTCGTTTGCAACCTCTGAGAGGCTGTCCCCCAAACTCCTGCAAGTCGTGGCCAGTCTTAGAGCTAATGCTACACCGCCGTTCTCTACCACTGTCTGGAAGCAAAACAATCTTGATAAAATTGACTGCAATCTAACTACGGCTCGTACAAGAAAAGTAGAATTTGAAAGTTCCCGTTTTCGGTTTTCTTTTCGTAACGATCTTCGCAGCGAAGAAGATTCGTTTCGTGCGCGTCGGTCATACCATGAGATTACAGGGACTAGTTTTGGTAGACCTCAGTGCAAGTCAACGAATCGGCAAGACTCGTTGGATTCATCCGATGAAACCACGAATTCCAGACTCGCTCCGAACAAAGCTTCCGCCTCGAAAAGAACCATTTTTGGTGATGCAAGCGACAATTTTTTGACGCCACTAGTAGAGAAGAATTATTTTAAATCTGTTTTGCGTCACATAGATTCATCATCGAGCAATGATGAAAACCTCTACGATCCGATCGAGCCCGAACACTTGTACGACGTCATACCAGACTCAGGGTA